GTGAGACGCTGCCAGCTCACACCCGGGGAGCGCCCGGAAAGGGGGTTCAGTGCCGGGGAGCAGCCGCTGGCCCCGGGCTGGGGGAGCTGCTGCCGCCTCCCCCACGTCCTCCCGGGGTCTCACCGCTGCCACCGGCACAGCAGAGCCATGGAGCTGCCACCTCCGCCATCGCTGAGCTGACCTTGCAGGGAAAGAAAAAGAACAACCCAAAAATGTCACAAGCTGCACCCAAATCCAGGAGCCATCCCAGCCCTGGAGCTGTGAGTGCCCCTCATCCAAGCTCCCCGGGCAGCCCCCCCGGCAGACATGCGGTGCCGGGCTCCTCCTGCGGCACCCGGGCCCCGGCTGGGCTGCGGCAGAGCCGGCGCGGGGCAGCTCAAAACTACTTACAGCATTTATTTTTTAAACACATGCTCATTTATGAAAACAATCACCCTGGCACGGTCCAAGCATATACAGACAAATCTACTCTACGACACGAGGGGCTGCCAAAGGAATGGGGAAAAGCCTCTACTCATCCACTCAGCGGTTCCAGCACAGCCACGGAGAGGGGAACGGCCGTCCGGGACCCTCGGAGCGGGCACCCGGCGTCGCCTGAACTCCAGCTGCCGGAGCTGAGAGCGGGTTAGGGGGTACCTGGCCGTTATCTTCATACACATCTCGGCTTTCGGAAATAAAAACAAAAGGTTTCTTCCAAATCAGCAGGCAAATTTGATGTGAGGAGGGAGGGCACCCCCCCGCAGCCCTGGCCAGCGGCAGGGCACGGGCTGGGCACGGTCACAGCCCCTGCCCGGGAGAGCCACCCGCTGCCCTGTGCTGGTGTGGGGTGCTTGGGTCAGCGTCGTGCTGTGGCCGCCCCTTCCCGGGCCGGGACAGCGAGGGACGCGGCAGGAGCGCGGGGAGCAGGGGACGGGGACGGGCTGTGCGCTCCGAGGAGCAGGGGGAGAGGAGGTTTTGTACCTCATAGTGTCACTGATTTTGAAGTCCTGGAGCTAGAGCTGAATGAACAGTAAAAGCAGGTTAAATCATTAACCAGTTAGGGACGGGGAAGCAGCTGTAAAAGGAACAGAGGAAGAAGGCCAGATTATTATTTTTGTTTCTTTTCTTTTTTGTTTCCTTTCCTTGTCTTCTCTCCTGGTGGCCGCCGTGCCGTGATCACAAGCCCTGCTTGGCCAGCGAGGCGGACACCTCGTCGGCTAGCGTGGCCAGCTGGGGGGAGTCCACCAGGTTGATGCTGCCGGTGGAGGAGACGTTGCTAAGGCGGCGCGGGGAGGCATCTCCGGAGATGGTCGGGGACTTGTAGACGATTTCGGCGCCGTGGTCGGTCTTGGCTTTGGCGTTCTCGCGGAAGGTCAGCTTGTGGGTCTCAATCTGGGAGGGAGAGGAGGGCGGTCAGGGGGGCACGGCCGTGAGAGGTGGGAGCGGAGCTCAGAGCACTGAACCAGAGTCCCCAGGGCCTCGGGCACGGCCCAGGAACCGGCGGGGACAGCAGGACCTGAGCCTCTGGATGCTGCCAAGTCCTCCCCAGGTGAGCTCCTGGGTCCCAGAACGCAGAGGGCACAGCCTGGGCTGCTCCCAGTCCCCTGGCAGAGATCCTGGGGGGATGTGGCACATGAAGCTTCCCCTTTGCCCACGCAGCTGCTCCCAGGAGCCAAACCCCTGTCCCGGTGAGCTGGATCTGGTGTGCTACTTACAGGTGCCCTCCCCAGCCGAGAGCAGGGCTGGGGGCTGGCTCTCCGTGGGGGTGAGTGGCTCCAGCACCAGGGCCTGGAGCCCAGCGGGGTCTGGGCTTGGGGTCCGGGTCTTGTCTTCCTTGCCTTTCTCTCTCTACAGGTGAAGAAACCCGCCCAGGGCAGTGGGGGGACAAAAAATGCATCAGCAACAAAAAACATGATCCAAGAAATGTCAGCCAGAAGGAAAAAGACAAAAAATATAGAAAAGAAATAGAAAAATGGGGAGAAAAAGATCTGAAAATCAGGGCCATTCACTGACTCATAGAAAGAAGAGTGGCTGCCTTTGGAGCCAGGGAGGAAAAGTCTCCAGGAACAGCAAGGGAGAGCACAGGGACTTGGGCAGAGCACGGAGCACCCGGCTCAGGAACCAGAGCTCAGCCTGAAGAGCTGCAGTCTGTGAGCCCAAATGTGGATCTGTGTCACGGAGCAAGGAGGAGGCTTGGGAAGATGGGAAAGGGCAGCAGAGCTGCACCTGGACTCAGCTACAGCCACAACCTCCCCCAGGCTGGGTTTAGGCAGGGCAGGGGCTGAAGTGGTGATGGGTCACGGCCTTGCAAAGAGCAAGTTCTTCAAACTATGGCCCAGTGAATGTGCCAGGATGTGACAGAGCCATCTCTGGAATGACAAAACTGATGGCAAAGGGCTCAGTGAAGCACAGGGGAGGCTGATGCACGGCAGAGAGAAGGGGAAGGAAGGCAAGCGGTCCCGCAGTCAGAGGCCAGCTGGAGGTGAGAGCTGGAGCTGCACAGAGAACACGTGGCCAAGAACAAAGTGCCAAAATACAGGAGCTCAAACAGAACCTTCCCCTCCCATTGAGACAAAAGTGCTGCAAAAACAAGCGAGATAAAAACCACTTTTCCCTGGGGAAGCTGAACCCTGTGTGTCGCCAGGCTGGAGTCTCAGCTCTGTGCTTACCTGATGTCCTCAACCCCTGCCTGCTGGGGACTTGGTGGCCTTGAAGCCCAGCTGTGGGGCTGTTTTACTTGGCTAAAACTCACTCAAGTCACCATCAAAGCCTTGGTGGGAACAGCTCAGCCCTAGTTCAGTATTTCCCTGACCCGAGCATCTTTTGTCTTTCAATTTAAATCCCCCCAAACACTCCCTTCCCTTCACAGAGCCCTTGGTCAGGAAGGAGAAATCACCTTCTGAAGGGCCAGCTTGCTGCAGAGTCACCTGCTCTAAATAAAGCTGAGCCTTTAATGCTCCCCTTTCCCTGGGGATCCAACACCTCTGCAGCTCTGTGTCACAGCAGCAGCACGGCACAGGGCTCGCTGATGGTGACACTTCATTGTGGGCAGGCTTTGAGACACAAACACCAACTTGAGAGGCAGCAGGAAGGCAGGAGAGCACAGGAGAGGCTGTCCCTGCCTGTGCTGGCTGCGGTGCCACAGCCCGAGGGACAGAGCCCGGCTGGCAGCAGCTCTGCCCAGCACTGCAGCCGCCCCCAGCGCCCTTTACCTTTTTATTGCCTCCTCCAGGGACGTGGCTGATGTTGTCTAGGGACCCGATTTTCGACTGCACCTTATCTTTGAAGTCCAGTTTCTCAGATTTCACCTCCACCTGGCCACCACCTGCAAGTGAGAGGGAGAGGTGGTGGCTCAGGAGCTGGGGACAGCTCCAGAGCTCCCCAGGACGCTGCAGCCCCCCCTGCCCCCCTCCACACCCCCCGAGCCTGGGGGGTACCTGGTTTGTGATGGATGTTGCCCAGGGAACCACATTTGGATGTCACATGGCTCAGGTCCACCGGTTTGTAAACGATTTGCACCTGCCCGTAGGAGAGAGGAGAAGGGGATGAGCTGGTGGCCAGCACGGGCAGGAGGGGAGGGGGAGCACAACACACGCAGCACCTGAGCTGGACTGGAGGGAGAGGACAGCTCCAACCCCAGGAGGATTAATGACACCAAAGAAACTCATCAGAAATGGGAGATCATTAATGCCCGTGTGCAGTAGCCTCTTAACATGTCAGCATGCACGAGATCACCTCTCCACAGAGCGGGGAGTAGAGGCAATTTTAAAGTGTTCGAGTGAGAGAGAAAGTGGAGTGGTAATTAATTAAGATTTGCATACACATCATCCAAAAGTAGGAGATATACCAGAGAGAAAATGTAAAAAATAAATACCTTTTCTGGTGTAAAACATAAAGCTTATGTCCACAAAAACTGAAAGAACAGAAATGATCAATGTGCACAGAACTTTTAAAAGAGTGACCAAAATATGCATTTCTGAAAAATGCTGTAACAGAAATAAGGGTTAAAAAAAAAAAAAACAAAAAAAGAAAAACAAAGAAAAGGCAAAGCAAAGTCTAAATATCTGGAGTTCACATCATAGAAATTAAAATGGCAATTATAAAATATTGAACCACAACAGCATTTTGTGATATTTAAGCTCTGTTTTGATGTGCTTTGCCCAGGATATCTCTGAACATGGGCTCCAGCATTTCCAGGACCCGCCCCCGTGCCCAGAGCCTCTTGTGCACGGACAGAGGGACACGGGACAGACAGAGGGACAGCAGGGGCTCTGCAGGGCAGCAGCCACACACGGGGAGCACCCTGGCACCACGCACACACACAGCAGCTACAGGAGCAGGAGACAAGGGGGGAGAAGAGACCCCTGGAGCCCACAGGTTACCCCAGAGCCAGGTTTGGGAGTCACGGCGGCCGTGGGTCAGCTCGGAGGAGAAATGGCATCAGCCACACCCCGAGGCTGGCTCTGGGCACTTCCCAGGGAGCAAATGCTGCTGCCCGTGCTCCCCAGGCACCACAGCAGGCGTGGTGCTCTCAGCAGCCCCACCAAAGGCAGCTCTGCAGAGGAGCTGACCCCTCCAGCAGCCCCAGAACAGCACCAAGGGCCCACTGCTCCCCGGCTCAGCACCTGAGGCTGACCCAAAAGCCCAGGGGAAGGTCCATCCTCCGGTTCTCACATGGCCCCAACGCCCTCGGTGCCTGTCACAGCCCTGAGGAACAGCCCAGCAGGGAGCCAGCTAAAGGAGGAACAGAGGCTCAGAGCCCTGCTGACCTGCCTTGTCTCCGATGCTCACGCAGACCAAAAGGCACATTTGACAGGAGACAGAGAGGGAGAAAAGCAACCCCTCGGGGTCTGGGAGCACACCGTGGACACAGACGTGGAGACAGCGCTGGGAAAGGTCACACGTGTAAAGCACTCAGCCAGGAGAGGAGCTGCATTTGGTTGGAAAGCGGGAAACAGACCCAAAAAGGGCAGCTGGTGCCTTTCTAATCCCAGCTGTGACCCTGAAGGGTCTCTCAGCAATTCAGGCACCACTGAGACCCGGGACTGAAAGTCCTCCCGTTTCCAGAACAAGAAATCAGCAATTGGAGCTTTCTCCTCTCATTCCCAGTCCCTTTTTTGACTGACAGGACTCCATCATCCCTTCCCATCCTGCTGGGGAGCAGAGAAGGACCCTCCCCGTTTTAGCAAGAAAGGAAAAGGGGAACAGAGTTGTTTGCCTGGGAAACCAGTGCCAGAGACCTGGGGATCCCACCCCTCAGCATCAGCAGCGCTGAGCCCAGCTTCTGCCAAAGGCATCCCCTGGGCAGAGCATCCACGGGCTTAAAAACCAGACACCGACCCCAGGGAGCAGCAGGGACCTCTGGAGGCAGCGATGGTGGGGCAGGGGGTGCTGCTGGCAGGGGAGGGGCAAAGTCCCAAAGGCCACTGGGGTCCCCCCAGGGCAGCCCCAGGACCCAGCCCCCTGTGCAGCCACGCTCTGCCCCTGCCAGCCTTTGCTTTGCTCCCAGAGCTGCTGCAGCCAGGCAAAGGTCGTGGGGTTCTCATTTCTGGCAGGGCCTGGGGAGGGATCACAACACCCAGGTGAAAATCCAGGTTATTCTTTACCCACGGTGTGAGCTCTGCAGGGGAAGGGACGAGCTCATCACCAGGCACAGCGAGGAGGATTTGTGGCCAACACCAGCTCCTGGTCCACCGCACCCTGGGCAGCCCAGGCGGTGCAGGACCCAGAGTAAGGAAGAGGAAGAACCATGGAACTGCTTGACAGGGTCTGAGCTCTGCAGAGCAGCTCCTCTGGCCTGTGAAGCCATTGCAGAGTGACACCAAATTCAGGCCAGAGGTTGCAAACCCAGCTGTGTCGCTGTGTTCACCTGCCAAGCCTTCTGCAAGGCTCAGGTTCTCAGGGAGGGCATCCAGAGATCAAAAACAGCCCAAGGAGAATCTCAGACCAGCCCCAGTCACACTGTCTGGGCTCTCAGGGATGCGTTTTCCCCGGTCCAGCATCTTTCCTGGACCCAAACTGCCTCCAGCTGTAAATCCACCAACCTCTGTGGAGTTTCTCCAGGTTTCTGGCACAGTGACTGAAAGCTGAGTCTGGTATTTATGTGGGAACAGCTGGAAATGCCAGCATTCAAATCAATTAACTCAACAATACTTCAGGCTCAGCCTCCACGGGCGCTGCTGGACACATTCGTTAGCAAGGAGAAACGGAATATTTGCAGGGATCATACTTGCCTGATGGGAATGGGCACGTTCACACCTTGGGAAGGATCATGTCCAATTTAGCAGCACACTGAGCAATGAGGACTGGGTCTGCTCACAGATCTACCTGGCATCACCGTGTGCCAGAGACCCCACCCCGCAGACAAGGAGCCTCCCCAGCAGTGCCAACCCTGGAGTTACTGGGAGGTTTTGTTACAGACGTGGTTTGGACACGGGGCAGTTATTTCTGTCCATGTCAGGCATGGCCAGGACTGGTTAGGGTTCACTTTGGGGTTAACAGGGTTAAATGACAGCACGTCCCCAATGGCTATGTGACAGCAGGGTGGCTGCAGATAGCATTGGTGATTAGTGTAACAACATGCCACTAAAATCAGGATTATTACAGTGCATTCAAAGTGTGAAGGTACTCACACTGCCTCCGCCCGGGATGTGTTTGATATTATCCTTTGAGCCACACCTGGATTGAACGCTGCTAAAGTCCAGCTTCTTATTAATTATCTGCACCTTTGGTAGCCAGAAAAGAGTCATTGCACGTCACCAATAGCTATCTGATGGCAGGGTCTCTGCAGATAGCATTGGCAGTTTAGTGTACACAACATGCCACTTATAATAAGAACTATTATAGAGCATTGAAAGTGTGAAGGTACTCACACTGCCTCCGCCCGGGATGTGTTTGATATTATCCTTTGAGCCACACTTGGATTGAACGCTGCTAAAGTCCAGCTTCTTATTAATTATCTGCACCTTTGGTAGCCAGAAAAGAGCGTGAGAAACAACATGACCATCTGCAGCTTGACCATGTGTTATATCCCTAAAACCAGGAACCTGCCTTCCAGTGCCAGGAGAACAAAGGAAAACCTCTGTCCTGCTGCAGGGATTTCTGTGTTCCTGGGCTGGAAAGGGAAGATGGAGGTGGGCAGGTTATAGCTCGAGGCTGGGTAGTGGTGCAGCCCTGGGTGCCAGGCCACGGGCACCAGCCAAAGAAAGCCAGCTCAGCCTGGATCCTTCCACGGAACAAAACGGGGAACTTGCTGGGCAAGGCAGGGCTGAGGCACCCCCAGTGCTCAGGGACTCAGCTTCTGCAGAGCCAGTGCCAACAGGAGAGGTGGAGCTGGGAGAAAATGCCTGCCCAGCTCCAGCCCCTGTGCCAGGCACCTCAGCCCCCTGCTGGGCCAGGCAAGCTGGCCCTGGGCAAGCAGGTGCCACCAGCACTGGCAGAGGACACCGAGCTCCCACTCCCTCCCCAGCCAGCAGAGAAAGCCAGCCCTGCTGGGAGGCAGCCCCAGGCCAGGGATGCAGCCCCATCCCTGATCTGGGGAACATTCTTGTGCAGTGGGAGTGAGGCTGGCAAGGGCTGGGGCCACAGGGGCAGCACTGCTCACCATCCACACCCTCCAGCCCCAAAGCCTTCCCTCCACGCTGCTTTCTGAGCTCCTGAAGCTGTTTCCACTCAGGGCCCGTTTTCCCCGCTGGATGTGTAGGGAGCTGTGCTGGAGCGGGCTCGGGCGGCTGAGCAGCTCTTCCAGACAGCCCGAGGGTGAAGACAACCCCTGCTCCTTCCCCACACACCCTGGAGTGCCTTTCCAAGCCCCAGCAGGTGAAAATGCAGGTAAGAACCCGCAGGTCGGAGCCTGTGTGAGGCACAGCCCCGTGAGAGGGAGCCCCCAGCAGCGTCACATCCCTGGGCACAGGCACCATCCCTGGGCACCTCGCCTCCAGCCCAGCATTCCAGCCCCAGGAGAGCTCCCTGGCTCTCCAGCAGCAGAAGCACCACGGCTGGCTGTGCCTCCAGCACATTTTCCAAGTTGACATCCACTGATCCCACAAGCCAGGCTTTGCCAGAGCAGCACTCGGTGACCCAGCCGCGGCTGAAGTGCTCAGACCATGCAGAGCCCTGGCAGAGACAGGACCTGGCTGCTCCTGGGGCTGTGCCCCGTGTGCCTTCCCTTGCCCAGGCTGGGCTCTGGGATCTGCACACACAACAGGCTCCAAACCATTTCTGACCAGCCTAAAATCAAATGTCTGCGATCAGCCCCTTCTGCTCCAGCTGCTCCTTTCTGCTGAGAGCAGCCTCGTGTGCTACAGAGCCCCAGCAGAGCATCCAGACACTCTCCCTTGCAAAGAGCAAGGAACTGTCCCAAATTCAGCTGTTCTTACTCTTCCAGCAACAACAACAAACAGAGAAGCAGAGAGGAAAAAAAACACCTTGTAAAAGCTGGATTAAAAAAGAACAAGAAAATAATTTAACTATTTTCCAGTAAACAAGGGTTCCTTGTGAAATCCCTGGAGAACAGGGTTTGTGGGGGTGGGAAGAAAAACCTGTCTTGTGCTAAGTGGGCAGGAAGGCTGAGCCCCCCCAAAAAGGACACTGTGCTCATGTGCTGCTGTCTCATGACCAAGAGCCCTGCCCAGGCTCCAGAGCCCCCCTGGATCGTGGCACAAAGCCAGTAACTCGCCAGCCACGCTGGAAAATGCATGGAAAAGCCATGGAAAAGCAGGCTGCCATCTCACAGGATGCAGAGGAGCCAGCTGAAAGCCTCTCCCCATGCCAAAGGGGAACATTCAGAGCCACCGAGGTACCTGCTCACACAAAATGTCATGCACAGCGCTCAGGGAAGGTTTGTTCTGGCTCTGCAAGGTCTGGAGCCAGGCAGTGTCACCCCCAGGACAGGCACTGTCCCCTGCCAGGCTTGCAGAACATAACCCAAGACCCTCATTCCCAAGCACTTGGAGCCCAGAGGTCACTTTGCTGCTCGTGGAACAACTTTTCTGGGAGTGCAAAGTGTTTGAAAGGATAGAGGTGCCAGCAGTTCCGGCCGTGCCACCCTGCACTGTGTGGCCAGACAGCACCCGATGGCACAACACAACCCAAAACAGAGCTGGATCCAAAATCCCAACGTCTGGCAAAGTGTGGGGTCCGAGCCTGAGTCCCTGAGGAGGAGGAGACAGCCTGAGGAGTCCCTGAGGAGGAGGAGACACTTTCTTGTCCTCTCCTGCAGCGCTGCAGGGACTGCTCCAGGCACAGTGTGGGGTTCAGCCCCGAGCCTGCCACTCCCCAGGGCTGCAGCTCCCAGCCTGCTGGCCCTGCCTGCACACTCCAGGGAATGCCATTCCCCCACCAGAGCCACAGCACGAGCTCTCCATGGACAGCTGAGCTGCACTAAGCCACACGAGGAGCTCCGGGCCAAGCATCCAACCCAAAACCTTCCCGAGAAGCCAGAGTCAGGCTGGAGCCCTGCCCGCTGCCACAGCCAGCACCGCTGCTGCTCCAGCGAGCTTCTCCCACCCAGCTGGAGCCTCCAGCAGCCAGGACAGCCCCTGGAAGCCGAGTTTACCTTGCCACCTCCGGGCTGGTGCTTCAGGTTATCCGTGGAGCCGATTTTGGACTTGACGTTTTTCAGGTCGGGCATGGGCGCGGCCGACGGCTGCACGCGGGTCTTGGCAGAGGCGGGAGATTTCGGAGGGGTGCGAACCACTGCCACCTTCTTGGGCTCCCTGGCTGGTGGGGTGGGCAGAGAGGGGGTGCGGGAACGGCTGCCTGGAGTCCCGGGGGAGCCGGGACTGCTGTAACCGCTTCTGTCTCCAGACTTGGGCTGCTCACCTGCATTTGCAGACAGGACAGCCCAGCTCAGCCCCTGCTCCCTGCTGCCCGTGGGGGCTGCTCTGCCTCGTCCCAGAGCCCACCCGACAGCCCAGCGCACGGGGAGCTGCTGGCTGCTCTTCCTTCTACTCCATTTTGAAGGAAAAACTGTGATTCAAAGGCAATTTCCTACTATCCCAGAGGAAGGTGGTCTCCATTGCCTGGATCATCAGTAAGACTCCCCACCCGAGCGTGGCACGACGGATTACAGACAAAAGACACTCAGAACCACTTTTCTATGACAAATTTGGAAGCACTTTCACAAAATTCTTTTCTGTCATTAACTAAGGCTGATCGCTGAGCAGCTTAGCACTGTCCCCAGTTTGAAAAGGAAATGAAAGAAGAAAAGAAGACCCTTAAACATCACCTTTCTCAGTCTTTGCTGCTGCAGGAGGTGGTTTTTTCTGCTCCTTTCTGCCTGTTTAGTGAATGAGAAAGATGCTTAAACATAATAAAGCTAGAAAATTAATTGATTTTAGGTTTTATGCAGCTCTGGTTAAGTATGAAATATATGTATATATCCAGTGAAATGCACCATTTTAATGGAAATTCACAATGCCTGATGCTTTCTGGGGTTTTCTTCTCTGAGCATAATGGGCTAATCTCCATTGCTGTAATCGAAGAATTGATCCTCTTGCCCCTGGTCTTTGTGAAATATCATCAGAGAGAAAACGAGTAGATGGATTAAAAAAATGGAGCTGCCTAAATCTTCCAGATTTGAGGAAATCCCACAGGATCAAGCAACTGGCCTCTCCTACACCCTGCAGGCTGTATGAGCACGGGGCACTGAGCAGCACCTGCAACATCCCTGGCTCTGCACCGAGTCCCAGGACAGGGCTGGGGTCGCTGGTGAACCCCTGGAGCTGCCCAGCAGCACCCCCCAGTCACCAGCACAGGCTCCCACCGTCACCTACCGGAGCTGGGAGGGGTCTTGGGGGCCGTGGGGGTCTTGGCCGGGATGCGGGTGGCGTTGGTGGAGTTCCTCTGCGCCTGCCCCGCGCGCGCCGAGCCCGTCTTGGAGCCACCCCTCGCCTCCGGGCCCTGGGGACACAGCGGGGACAGGGACAGGCTGTCACCCTGGATCACAGCACTGAGAGCTGCCCACACCTGGCTGTGCCTGTTCACACCCCGTGTCCCATCTCCACAGCCCCTCCTGGGCTGCTGCAGCAGCTGTCACCTCTCCCAGCTGAGCCCTTGGCTTCAGCTGCAGCGTTCACAGCACCCTCACACCTGCTTTAGCCACACCTCTGGTCTCCAAATTTCACCCTTCGGTTCTTCCTGTTGTGCTAAAATTTTGTACAGAAGATCAATGAATCCCAGCAGCAGTGACTGGCACAGGTGAGCAGCTGTGGCTGGCCCTGGATCTGCAGGCCAGGCTGGACAGGGCTGGGAGCACCTGGGACAGGGGGAGCTGTCCCTGCCGGGGCACTGGAGGAGATTCAAGGTAGTTTCCAACCCAAACCATTCCAGGATTCTACAGTTCTGTGACCCGTACTCCCTGTGCTCTCCCTTTGTGACTTTATGTCACAAAGGGAAAAAGCTCTGAGATTCTGTTCACCCTGCAGGATTAGCCATGTGTGCATTCCCTGCAGCTCCAGCACTGCTCAGACCCATCTGGGAGAAACACAGAGCTGCAGAGCAAGGAGGGGACCTCAGGGGGGCTGGGTCACACCTGCAGAAGGAGCCCTTTGTGCTGGTTCCTCCCACACCAAACCCGGAGCCAAGCCTGGCTTCACCAGGGGAGCTGGAGGGGAGCACATCCCACCCTCTCCATGAGCAGCAGCAGCAGGAATGGCAGGAATGGCAGGAATGGCTCCAGGTGCTGCCCTCGGCTCTCCCACAGCCCATTCCCTTACCTTGGCTTTTGTCTCCTGCACTCCTGAGCTGGCAGAACCTTTGCAGGCAGAGGCAGGGCTGCAGGGAGGTTTCGGAGGGGCTGCGTGCCGGAGGGGGGGCAGGGAGCCAGGGGGCTTGGCAGGGCAAGGTGAGGATGTCTTGGACATGGAAACAAAACAAAATGGGAACAAAAACAAAAGAAAATCAGCAGGGGAGGGAAATAAAATGGGATCAGCGACATGAAATAGGATTAGAAGGTGCAATACAGGGCTGGGTGTGGGGTAGGGACTGCCAGGGCTGTATACAGAGAAATAACCAATTTCAGTGTTAGAAAATAATTCTATTCCTCATCTTAAACACTTCAGCCACTGAATTCCCCCTCAGCTTGTCTATTATCCCACTCAGGCACTAACCAGGATAATGGCCAGCCAAACCATTCTCCAAATTACCGGTGTGACAGATATTGTTTAACTTCTGGAATTCACCCATTATTAAACTCTGTATTAAACTCTGTCAGAACACAACACAGCATCTTTTTTGTGATTGTGCAAGCCAGGATTTGATGATTCTTGTGGATCCCTTCCAACTCAGGATATTCTATGAGCTGCAAGGCCCCGATTATTTAATTCAATGTTTTAATTGCATGTTTTGCTCTTTTCCCAGTTATGCTTGTCCCCAGTGCAGTTTGGAGTCTGCCCCAAGGTCAGATGCTGCTTTTCAGTCCTGGGCTGAGAAAACCATTTCTCCAGCCTCCCACCCAACCCCATGAGCCGCATGCTTGATTTAGATTTGGACCATTTCCTCACCCTCAAAGAACCCACAGATTGCACCATCCAAACCCAGGGGAGGGAAGAAAAAATAAAAACACTCTCGAGAACAAATGGAAAAATGGAACATAATGGGAAGGTTTCCTAAAGGCACATCAGCAGAGCAGGAGGGCAGGAGAGGAGCCAGGAACACGGACAGGTGTCACCCCTGCTTTCGTGTTTTACCTTACCTTGGGTTTCTTTTCATCAGCTTCGGTCCCTTCCTTGTCAACACGACCTGCCAGGTGGAAATACACAGTTACACCTCCTGGGACTGTCACAAACTCCAGAGATGGCAGCACTCTGCTCCCTGTCCCTGCTCTCCCTCAAACTCCACACTGCTCTTAGAAATACGACAAAGTCACCATTTCGTGTGGAAATCCTTCACCACTCCACAAACACATTCCTTCTGTGTTAGCAGATGATCCTGTGTTAGTCAGCACTGGAGACCAGGCACACCAAGGAGCTTTGTGCGTGAGCATCTCGCCCAGATTTCCACCCAGTTCCTGCAGGATCCATCCAGCTCGGCACAGAAAGTTCCCTCCCACCCTGCACAGGTCTCTGAAGCACCCCCTGGTTCTAGCAATCACATAAATAGAGACTCAGACTGAAGGAAGCCCCAGTCCAGCAGCACTGTGATCTCATTTAAGGGCTTGTTCAGCTGGTGCTGCACTTCCATCCCTGGCTGCTGCTATTCCCATCTCTCCTGACAGGCTGCTCCCAGCACAGTGCCTGCTCCACCTGCGTCAGTCTAATCAGATCAGAAATGGGGAGGAGATAAAATTTGTTCTACAAGGCACTAAGAACAAAGCCCTTTTCCCCACCTTCAGCTAACTGGGAGGAGAAACTGCCGATATTCTCCCCAGTGCTGGGACTCGTCCTGGGGGATCAGCCCTTTCCTGGACGTGGACCCTGCTGTGGACCCATCCCACACGGATGCACCCCCCTCCCCAGTTCAGTGCCACTGCACACCAACAGCCACCGAGCGTCTCTGGCTTTGAAGGGAATGAATGTCTTTGAATGCAATAATTCCCCTGCAGCAGCAGGAGCTGGCTGGCTCTGGGCAGGGTGTCCCAGCCCCTGGGTGAGCCGTGCCAGTGAGCACACGAGCCCAGCCTCCCGCTGCCCACCCCGGGGGGAACAAGGAGAAATGTCATGAGCTTTAGCCCCAGTGGGAAAAGCTCCATCAACAATTTCTTCATGAGCCCCACGCAGCACAGAGCCACAAGCCCAGCAGCATTCCCAGGCTGATGGGAGCAGCCAGGGAGCCTTTGGAACGTGGATGTGGGGGAAAAGGCAGAGCTTCCCCCGGGTGTCCTGGAGAGCCAGAGCTGAGGTACAACACGGGCAGACACCGGCATGTGTCCTGCTGCCCTGGCCCCCTGCTCACAGCACCACCTGCCTCCACCCACTGAGCCGGGCCCTTGGGACATTCCTGAACCCAGGAGAGGTGGAAAACAGAAAGGGAAGGTCTGAGGGATGCTCGTGGATTTAGTGGTGAGCTCAAGCCCTTAGCCAGGGCTGCCCTCCCAGCCCAGCCCCAGCAATGTTTAGATGTCTCTGGACAGGCAGCTCCCGCTGAGCCCCCGAAGGCAGCCCTGTGCTGGCACAGCCAGGGACAGCCCATCCAGAGCTGGGATGGCAGCAGGATGCTTTGGAAGAGCAATGGACATGCCTGGCAGTGGGAAAAGGTCCCGCTGGCTGCAGACCGTGCCTCCAGCAGCACTCAGCAGCAGACATTTAATGGGAAAGTACAAGAAACAGGATCAGTGTGGGGGCTTTTCCACGGCTAGACCTGCCATCCTTGCCTCTTTCCTCCTCCCTCCTCTTTAGGAAAGCCAATTCCAAGAGTTATTGGATCAGACATGCAAACCAGATGGCACGTGTCCTGCCGGAACAAGCTGCACACGCCAGGCCAGAGCCACGTCCATCCATCCGCTCCTCTTCTCTGGGAAGGTGCCAGGTGGGAGTTAAGGCGCCCACCCAACAGATCCGAGGAAATCAAAGCAAAAACAGGTGAAAAAAAGCATGATTAGGGACACGCCAGCACCATGCAAGGGACGCAGAACCGCAGCGCAAGGGTGTGGCAATCCAATCCAGGATTAAATAAAGAGGGAGGGGCAGGGAGGGAGCAGCAGCGCTGCAGATCAGTCACAGCACACGTCCAGGCCATTTCCAAGCAGCAGGAGTCGAGGTGGCAGCAAGCTGCAGTGCTGGAGCACACACCTTTGAGCAGAGGGACACGGCTGCCCTTGTCTGCAGCCAGGCCACCGGGCTTCCTCCTGGGCGTCCTGTGGCCCCCTGCATCTGCCAAAGGAGCTGCTTTGTCCTTCAGCTCATCTGCTGCCTCAGCTGGCAGTTTGGCTGTTTCCAGCACGGGCCCAGAATCTTCTCCATCCTTGGGCTCAGCCTGGTTTTGGGAGACACTCTCAGAAGGCTCCGACACGGTGACGTCTGGGCCTCCTTCTCCCCCCAGCAGCTCTGGCTTCTCCTCCTGGTCCTCTCCTGCTTTATGTGACCCAGCTTCAGCCAGAACTGCCCCTCCTGGGACGTCTCTGAGGACACCTTTGGACTTGTCTTCTCCATCACATTCTTCACGAGCCTCCTTGGCAACTGCTGGACACGAGCCCTTCCCAGGTCCCAGGGAAACACGCTGATCCGCAGGGGAAGGCAAACCCTGCTCCCAGGTTTCATCAATATCCCGGTCCTCATCTCTCTCCTGTCCACCAGAACCTTCCTTTAACGTGGCTGTGGCACACGGAGGAGAGGGTTCCTCTTTACGGTCACCTGTGCCTCCTGGCACGGCCTCTGTGTGCACACCTGGGCCCAGCTCCGGCTGCACAGCGCTGCCTCCCTCATCCCACAGCTCGCTGCCGCCTTCAGACGCTCCAGAGCCTTGGTACATGTCCAGGGGGATCGGGATGGTGACCTCGATCCTGGTGGGAGCTGCTGCCGGAGCCTTTGTTCCATGGGACGGAGGCTGAAGCCCCAGTCCCTGCTCTGGGGGCTGGCTGGAACCTTCTCCTGCCTCTCCCACCTGCTCCCGAGGGCCAGGCTGGAGCTTTGGAGAGCTCAGCTCGCCTGGAGCTGAAGACGTGGGGTGTGAAGCATGGGCAAGAAATTAGCACAGGCATGTCAAACATCACGTCACGGGAGAGATTCAGGGTTTCTACTGGCAATGGAGAGACAAAAGCAAGTCCCATCCCACCCCACTGAACAGCCAACTCACTCCTGCAGTGCCTTTTGGCTTTAGAGGAACTCTGATCCCCACAGGAATCAGGAACAGTGACACAACACAGATTCCTGCCTGGACCTGGCTCAGAGGCTGCCTTCACCCTGCACTCCACGAGCTGCTGTAGCTGTAGAGGTTTCCAGAAGCCAAGAACATTCCCTAACACCACCAGCAGTTTGCTGGTCAGTGCCCACCCCTTCTTGCCTCAAGGGCCCTGTGCTCCCTCCTGTCCTCACAGGACCCTGCTGGCCCTCCCTGCCCCAGATGTTGGGGCACATCTGGCTCCAGAGCTGAAGCCACCTCTGCTCTGCTCCTTGGAGAGCGCTGCCCTGCCCTGCCACAGCAGGGAAAGGACTCTGGGGAGGAAACTGGAGCCACAGCAATTTGGGACCTTGCACCCACTGAGGCTGCTCGGAGCTGCTCTGCCATCATTTGGGCTGAGTGACATCCACAGAACCTGAGGCCACAGAGACAAAGATGTGTCTGTGTCCCTTTTCCTTTTCAGTGTGTGTAAAAGAGGGGATTCTGTTGTGTCACTGCAGGACACAGACCTTTACAATTCCAGCAACTGCTGCATGAAGCCAGATCTAAATGAGCTGGAGATTTTCTGTTGGAAATCCCTTCAGCTGAAGATGCCCTGAGCAACAGAGAATTCACCTGGACACGGGAACATGGCTTTAGAGGAACCAGCCCAGTGAGAATGTGCCTCTATCAACTGGTTCAGCTTCAAGGGCTCTTTGGTCTCTTTGAGCACTGGTCAGGTGAAGAGCCCAGACCAGAGCCCTGAGATCACAACTGTGGCTTGGCCAGATTAACAAACAAGAAAAGATCAAGTCAAGACCGACTGGGTCTTTCATCAGTGTCCTCCCCACTTTTAAAGAATATCACAGTTAAGTGAAACAACCACACAAAGACCTCACGTGTGACAGCTGAAAGATCCCAGGACAAGGCAGAAAGGGCTTAGTAAAACTCTGATGAGAATCAGCACTAAAACCAGGGCAGAGAGAAGAAAGAACTTCAACCCCCTCCACTAACAATCCTGATTTCTTTTAGTAATAAAATAGTGCCACTATTTCATATATAGAAGAGCTGACAGTCCAAAAACCCCTGGCCAGACAAGCAAAGGTTTTATTCTAATTGCAGGGAGCAGAGTGCACAGAATTGTGCTCATCTGTGTGTGGAAAGCAACAACAACCTGAATTCTGCCCTGAGCTGAGAAGGCAAAACCTATTTACTTCTGTAAAAGACATGGATGTCTAAATGCACTAATGGAGCCATGATGAGGAAAGACAATGCTGAGCTGAAGAGATCTGTTCTGTTTGCTGCACAGGAAACTGCTTCACAAAATGGCTTTTCACTGTGATTTTAAACTGCACACTAAATGGGTGCTGTGGTGGTCAGTGCAGGCAGGACATCACCGGGAGCCTCAACTCCTGAGTCTGCCCCATGGAATTAAACCAGCACTGGGGGCCTTGGGAAAACCAATTTTCCATCAAGTCTGCACGGAGCAGAGTCAAGAGAAGCTTTCCAGGTAGCCAAATGGTCCCTGGATAATTCTCAGCCCATCTAAGCAGACACATAATTAATGCTGTGAGAACATTCTCTGCCCACTGTGTCTGGCTTTGTCACTCACATTCCCCAAGACTGGGATGAGGAGAAAAATCCCTCAGTGTTGAAGTCAGGGGATGAATCAGTAGGTTTGAGTCCTGTTTTACAGTAGAAAGACACAGTAATTAAACAATTTTGCCAGTTTTATGTGTGACATGGGCCTGCACTGCCTCTGCTCACTCTGGGCAGTTCCTCTGGCTCATCCCAGCTCTGCCCATTTCCAGCCTGGAGAACGCCCTGGTTTTGCAGCTGGACAAACAAGCACCGTGACTTTGGCCATCTGAGGGTGAAATCTGGTGCATGAGAAGCTGCAGCTCCCTGAAATGAGTATGCTGGAACACTCCAGGTGTGCACAGCCCTCCTGTGCCAGGAAAGGGGAGAACTGCACAACTGCTGGGCAGAGCAGAGCAGTCCCTCACAGAACAAAATTCCCAAGCCACCACCACCAGTTGCACAGTGGGCAGCAACAACTGGTCCCAGTGAGAGGATTCACCCACCTTGAGTGGCATCTCCTGCAGCGTGGTCCTCCAGGTTGGGAGTGGCTCCTACGCCCGCCTCTTCAGCTGCTCCCAGGACAGAGGAAGAAGGGGAAAAACATGATCAAAATAAGAGTTAAGTTTAAGCATGTGCCTGGAGAATGATTTTACCTCCCTGCTGAGGCTGCCCAGCAGAATGGGCAGGATCTCTGCTGTGCCACGGGCAGGGCAGAGTCAGAAAGGGAATTTCCCCACAGCGGTGATGGATCTGGGTAGATCTGTTCAGCCTGGGCTGTACAGACCAGAGGAGTGTTTCACCAACTTCCACATCCTAAATGGCAGGTTAGTACAAGCTCTTCCAGGCAGAAAACAGGCTGTTAAGGAGCAAGGAAACTCGTGGATTTATGTCCCTCTTTTACCCCCACCTGGCCTTTACATGGCCAGCAGCACTCCCACGAACATCTCTTACCTGAGTTCACCTTCTTGGTGTCTGTGACCAACCTGTGAACCCTGCCAAGGCTGTGTGAGACCAGTAATTCCACGCCTGACACAAATCTAGAGCAATCCTGAACCTCAGAGAAGCATGGTGTTCCTCACAGTGGTGATGGCTTGTCTCCATCAGCATTTTTTCACTTTATTCTGTGACTATTTTCAAACTAGCTTAAACAATTATACTTGTATGCCACAGTTCTCCAGTCAAACCAGGACTTCTTCTGTTTTCCCCATTTTTCCCAAGTAATCAGGACACACTGGCTCCCTGGGACAGTCAGATCTTGCACCAGAGCCTCTGTGTTTCAGCCCAGGGCTCCACCAGCAGCTCTGGGAGTGGATGCAGCACAGAAATTTCACTGCCGTGAGCTTGTTTCAGTGTTTGGCACTGGCAGAATCCCTCTTCTACCCGCTGCTTTGCTCAGGTCCTGCCTGCTGCTTCCAGGGAAAGCCTCTGGCTATGGCACAGGGGACACGTCCCCGAGTTTCACACACAGACCTGCCCTCCCCGATCCTCCTCTCTCACGCAGCACTGCCACAGTCACTCCCTGCTCTGCCTCTGGAAGGCCCCAGCCTTCCCTGGAGAAGCAGGCCCAGGTGCAGTGAGTGCCCACAGGGCATTCAGGCTGGATTAGTCACTTCACTTCCTCTGCAATATCCTTAAAAGCACTGCTGCAGTGGCCTGGTTCTCACTGCCACTCCAAAGACAGCCCAGGGCTGGGCAGAGCCCCAGGGCTGCAGGACAGGCAGGAGGGGCTGCTGGCACAGCAACCACCCAGATCTGCAGGTGGGAGCCTGGAGGTGGCAGCCAAAGCCACCACAGACACCAGACAGAAGGATGGTCAGATGTGGAGCAGAGAGAGAAGAAAAGGCTGCGAGCTTCCCCCAGGATGGGGAAGGCAAGAGGACAACTCCAAGTGAGGAATTATTTGGAGAAGAAGGAAGCAGCGTGGGGAGCAGTGTCCCTGGGAGAGGTTTTGTGCTGTTGTCTCACAGCACTGACCAGTCCAGCTCCCTGCTCTGTCTGCAGCAAGAGATGAAGCTGCACCTTGGTCTCCCTCACCTGTGGTTCCTTCTGGGATCTCCCCGTGCTGCTCCACACCACCCTGATCCTCGTGGTCTCCTTCCTCCACTAAAGGTGCTGTGGCATCTGAAAAACAACACAGCTTTCACACAGCTGCTGAGAGGCACAGCCCTCTGGAGGCCAGGATGTGCCAGAAGAACTTTCTGCTCAGAGAAGCGCTGGGCTCCCTCTCTGGAGCCAGTGGAGCTGGTGGAGGGAACAACTCAGCATGACAGGCAAGGCCAGAACCACAGGGACAGCAGGAGCTGCCCCCTGCCACACAATGTGCCACAACAAACTCCCTACACCTCTGAAGGCTTTGCCTCTTTGTCCAAAAATCCACCACTAAAAGAAGCCCCCAGTGCCACGGGCACAGAAATCCTGCACGGAGCCACAGCTGGTCTGGAGCAGGACAGAACACCCCAGTGTGGCTGCATCCTGCTCTGGGACAGAGACACCCAGCTCCACCTGCCAGAGGGGTGGCTGCTCATCCTGACCGTCCCCAGCCAGCTGGAAGCAGGATAACATCCCCTCCTGCACCAGATGGGTTTTTATGTCCTGATTTCTCGAGGCACTTTCCTGACACGCACTCACCCCAGGAACGGGGCTGGGACTGCTCAGCATCTCTGCCCACCCTGCCTTCCTTTCAGAACAATTCTGCAACTAAAGCCTCTACCTCAAGTCTCCAAAGGCAGATACTTGGGATTAAAGCAGCCAGAGGAATGCAGAAAGGGAAGGTAATTCCAATAGTGAACAAGTCTCCAGAGCACTCTGGAATTAGAGCCTTTCTACCCACAAGGCATTCGGGACTTGGGGAGCGCAGTGACACAAACCCGTGTCACACAGCACAGGACTGCACTGCCAGGACCTGCCAGCACCCCTGGGAAGTCAGTGGGGAACAGAGCACAAGCAGCTTCCTGAGGAGCACTGAACAATTCACCTTTCTTGCCTTCCAGCCCCTCTGCACCTTTAGAGCTCATTATCTCGTTCTGCAGCATAGCAAACACCAGCGGTGGTGAGGATAAGAGGCTTCTCCTCCTGAGAAAGCCCACCAGGAGGAGTCTGTGGCCAGGTCTGCCATGACCCCATCCATCACGGTTCCAAAGCAGAAAGTCAAAGAGCTCCCACCTTCCGTAGTTGGGGTGCTCTTAGCGTCAGATGTTTCAGAAACAGGCTCATCCGATCCATCATCGACTGGTATCTGAAGGGGATAGCCTGGAAAACATTCAAATACTTACAACAAGTCCTTGGCTATCAACGGGGGCCTGGGGGTTACCAACTCTGCCCAGATCCACAGCAGCAAGAAGCTGCAGCTGGAGAGTAAAAACCACCTGAACTAAAAGCAAGCAAAGCGTGAAAATGCCAACCAAAAGCACCAGTGTCACCACCAAAAGGAACAAACGGAAACCCATCAGCAAAAGAAAAGCCCAGTGAACTGGACAGGCAGAAACAGCAAAGCATGGCACAAGCAGGCAAGGAGATCTCAGCAAGGTGAGGAGGAAAGATGTGCAGCTTCTGAGGCACTGTTGTCCTCTCCCTCCCAGAGCAGGCTGAGCACTCCCAGGACTGCAAACCAGCCCGTGTTTGTAACGGGGCTGCTGCAGGACAACGGTCTGTGCCAAGAAACGGTGGCAAAAGTCTTCTGGAAGAGCAGGGCAAGAGGCACAAGTCTCCTCTCAGCAAGGGTGCAGGGAAATCAAATAATGAGAGCTGGAAAAACGGATTTGGAAAAGAAGAAGTGAAATCCCTGGGAACCTGTGCTGTGTGAAACAAGCGGAGAGGAGCTCAGCGCGATGCGCCACAGAGCCCAGGATGAATGGATGCTGTGGATTCTCTCCAGGACAGAGGCCATCCATTTATCTGGTGTGAGAGGTGTCCAAAGCACCTCAAGAAAAGGAAATTAAGATGATGTTTATATGGAGATAACCAGGAGAGTGTCCCAGCAGGTTTGCTGGTGCTGCGTGGGTTTCCAAGCTCAATTGTGGAGCACGGTGGAATGAGAAAGGAAAAGCTTCTGGAGAAATGCAGGTCTGAAATATGGTGAGGAAGACTCTAGCATGGCCCCCACTCCCAGAGCTGTCTGTTCAGCTGTCCCCAGGTCCCTGTGCAGGTGAGGAAAGCAGGCAGCAAGCAGCACCCTTGAGCTGTGACCCCAGATGAGAACAGGGCTGTGTTTTCATAGCAAACCGAGGAGCACAAACACACACCAAGCTGCAGCACTGGGATCACCCCTAGTCTGGACACCAGGGGTTATTCTGCTCTAAATGTGCTATGAGATCCACGAGCAGCATTTTCCTACGCCTGTGAATGCTGGAGCACCCTGTGGGCTCCCCGTGGTGCAGCCAGCTGACCCACAGTGCCTTCCACACGCTCAGAATGCTGTCCCCAAGCACCCCTCACACCACCACGCTCCTCTCCCTCTCCCTGCTGGGCTCAGCAGTGGGCCAGGCAGGTCCTTCACCACCTCCTGGACGTGCTCACCTGATGAGAAGTGTTTTTCCTGGCCAGGTGCGTGATCCTCCATCATGGTGTTGTCCTGAGGCTGCTCTGCCACCTCTCAGCAAAGGTACCTGAAAAGGAGAGTGAGAACTAACAGCCATTAGGCAAAACCTGACACAGCAGGAGCAAAGGGAAGGTCTGGTCATTCCTGCACAAGCAAAAGCATGTGCCAGTCACTGCATCCCTCACAACAAACACGGGCAACTCCTGCCAGCTGCATTCAGATTCCACGTGTGTTCGAGATGTCCCGAGCAAAACGCCCACCCTAGTGCAGCCAGGCCACTGCCCTGGCACAGCTCTGCCCCAGGAGATCCCTTGGGCAGCAGGCTGTGCTGGCTGACTGCTGGTGCACACTCCCAAGTCTGCAGCTCCCAGTTTGACCAGTCTCCCAGGAGATGTACTTGCTGGTGGGGTGTGATGCTGCTGTGGGAAGGGATCCCTCCATCCCCGTGGATACACCCAGCAGGGATACACAGCTGCCACAGGACACTCATCACCTCAAAACCCATCCAAAAGTCACATATAAAAGTCACAGGGCTATCCACAGGTGGATTGCAGACCCTTAGAGAAGAGGGTCTCACTCAGCTGTGGCTGTGAGGGGACAGCACAACCCCTGCTTTAACCCCAAACCCTTCCTGCCCCAGCTTGGCACAGAGCAGAGCAAACAGGTCAGGGTGCTGGGCTGGAAGCAGAAAGGTGCCAAATCTCACAGTTGTTTGTCTAAAAGAATCGTTTTTCTAGTCAGCATCGATCTGCAGAAGGAAATGAAGTCCCCAGCAAGCATTGCCTGCCCCAGGGCACAGGGCCCTGCTCTCTGTGCTGGATGGACAGCCAGGGCTCTTAGCTGGCTTCCCAAGAGCTGATATCACTGCAGCCACTGGCAGCATTAAAAACCAGCTCTCGGTGTGATCATGTGCTTGCTGTGACCCCCAGGGACAGCGGAGCTCAGGTTACAGCAGCAAGGAGGAAACTTGTGGTTTTGTGTGCTGGCAATAAATGAACTGGATGGATGGAACCACACCAGAGAAACTCCAGGGCCAGTAACCAGATCCCTCACCCAGCTTTTTTTAAGCCCCAGCAAAATGACTCTGCAATTTAATTACTGCCTTAGACAGCTACAAAGCCACTTGACAGGACTCAAATCTCATCATATTCGAGATTCAAATTCTCAAAGATGGACTGAAAATTCTGAAAGAAGTCCATAATGATAATCCTCTTTGTTTTTCTTTTGGAGTGGGGGAAGGGGAAATCCCTCTTAGGGAAAAACATAACATCAAGGGGAAAAAAACATTCTAAAATATTCTTAAAAGTGTAAAACCAGTCCCGCCTTGAAGCAATGGTTCAGTGATGCATAATTAGAGCAGAGAAAGCTGCACAGAGATAAACCTGAACAGCACCCTCTGCATGGCAGATAAAGCACAAACCCTCCAAAGAACCTTATCCATCCCCAGCAGAACTATTCTCCTTAACCAGAGACTATCTGAAAGGCAACAGCCCAGCCCATAACTAACAGCTCCCCCAAAACTCGTGTTTTCCAGACCTGAAGCGGGAGGAGAGGCCTTGGAGGAGCCACCTGGAGCACCCGGGAGGCAAAGGCAAGGGTTTTGTTGCCAGGAGCAGGAGGAAGAGCCCAGCTGCAGCCCAGCAGCAGCGCTGGTGTTTGCAGCCCCAGCAGCAGCCAGCTGCCCAAAGCCTGTCCTGTGCAGTGAGCTGCAGCAATTCCAGCTGGGATGGCCCTGGAGCGGCACAGCCGGGGCACAGCAGCACCAGGGAAAGCTGGTGATGCCACACAGAGCCCCCAGCACCCTGCAGGGAACCTGGTGATGCCACACAGAGCCCCCAGCACCCTCTGCCTGCCCGGATCCAGAGCTCAAACCGCACCAGGCAGCCCAAACTCTCAACCCTTGGGCAAAAAGCTCCTCTGTGGTGAGAGGCAGATAAAGCCAAGGCACAGCCAAGGTGGAGACAGCGTTCCCTAGGGGTGGAGGGGACAGGGCAGACCCCAGAGGACCCCAGAGCCCCCCAGAGCCTGGAGCAGCCCCCCGGGGACCATCCCGGCACATCGGCAGCAGTTCCCCTGCACAGCTCCAGGATCACAAGGCTGGCACCAGGGGCTCCATTTACACTCCCCAAGCCCAAAATAAACCCAGTGCTGGCAGCCTGCGGGAGGCTGCGGGGGCTGCACACGGCTGGGAAATACAGAAAAAGGAACATTTCGGCTGCAGGAGAGCACAGCGCCCTGGGAGGGGCTGCCTGCGTTTGCACACTCTGGGACTCACCAAGAGAGCTGCTCCACCCTTCACACCAGCCACAAAATACCCAAAATACCCACAAAATACCCAAAATACCCACAAAATACCCAAAATACCCACAAAATACCCACAAAATACCCAAAATACCTACAAAATACACAAAATACCCACAAAATACCCAAAATACCCACAAAATACCCACAAAATACCCACAAAATACCCCAACTATCCACAAAATACCCAAAATACCCACAAAATACCCAAAATACCCACAAAATACCCACAAAATACCCAAACTATCCACAATATACCCAAAGTATCCACAAAAGACCCAAAATACCCACAAAATACCCAAACTATCCACAGTATACCCAAACTATCCACAAAATACCCAAAGTATCCACAAAAGACCCAAAGTATCCACAAAAGACCCAAAGTATCCACAAAAGACCCAAAATACCCACAAAATATCCACAAAATACCCCAACTATCCACAAAAGACCCAAAGTATACCCAAAATACCCAAAATACCCACAAAAGACCCAAAGTATCCACAAAAGACCCAGGCCATCACCCAGGTAACTCCCAGGGTGGCCAAGCAGAGCCTCTTGGCTATTGTCCTGTGCTCAGCATCTTCCTGCTCCTTATTTAACCACAAAGGGCACAAAGCTCTCCTTGTTAGAAATGAAAACCCAACAAACACGAGCAAAGTGTTACCTCTGAAAGGTGATCAAACACAAACAGGGCTTTAAAAAAGGCATCATTCCATCTGAATTACATAATTAAAACAGAGTGACAGCACCGTGAAACAACATCAGCCTGAAAGGCTGTTCATAATTCATAAGCAACTTCCTTTTCATCTCCTTTGTGTGCTTCTCCAAGTACTGTTTTTCCCAGAAGCCGGCAGAGGAAGGAATGTGGACGATGATCTCATTAATTGCAGGCACTAATATGCAGCAAGCTGAGAAATTACACGGAATTTCAGGATATCCAGTCAAGAGGACAGAGAACTTCTTTTAGGTTCAAAGGCAGATAAATTGCTCCTTTTGGAGCAATAGCACAGAGTTGCAAAAGAAACTGTCTCAAAAATGCATGTTTTTTTCTTTTCACCATTTTTCTATATTTATTATAGTTCAGGTAACTCCTCGGAGGTCTGAAACTTTCGTCCCTTCCTCCAGGGGCTGGACGCTTTCCCAAGGGACACGAGACGGGTTTGGATTCACAGCAGAGCAGTTTTTGGGACACAGGAGTCTCCTCACACCCATTTTATTCTCCTGTCACTCCAGTGCCCTGCCCAAAGTCCCTCTCAGACCAGCAGAGCCCCCACAAATCAAAGCTGGTCCCAGCAAGAGCCCTGTGAGCCACGGCCAGGGGACACCACGGGGGTCTCCAGAGCAGCCTCGTGGCCAGAGAGAAGCCAAGGAACTCTTGCATGCTGCTGCTCGGGGCTGCTGAGAATTAAACTAACAGAATTTGCCATCCCAAATCAGCTTAGGCCCAGCTCAGCAGCTGCCTCGGAGCAGGGCAGCAATTAGAGACCAGATTATCCAGCACAAAACCCCAGCCCAGGGCCTGAGCTGTGGGAGAGGGGAATGGGTTTGTCTGCACGTCTCCTCTGCCCAAATAAAACAACTGTGACCTGCTCCACCTCCACCTCACCCAAAACCTGACCACCCCATTTCCACCTGCAGCATCTCCTGTCCTAAATGGATGATCTTCCTTCCTTGATCTTCCACCCCTTCTTGTTTTCCTTCTCACTCTCAGCCTGGTTTATCTGCCCAAGCCAAGCCCACCCTTCCCACCCCAGCTTTCCCTGGGAGCCCTGGGAGGTTTAGGGGTGGCCACAGCCCGGGGAGGTGCTGGCACTCAGATCACCCAGCTCATTCCATAATGATGCAAAAATCAGGCTGTCCCTAAGTCCAGTGAGTCTAGCTAGATTAGAGCTCTGATCAGAAGGGCTCACGTGGCAGCAGAAAAGAAGCAACAGCAGTTTTAAAGGCTGCCCTGTGTGTTGAGCAGGCTCTTTGTGAGAGAGGGGAGAGAAGCCTCTTTGGCAGGGATTTACCAGGCTGCCTTCAGATTTCTTCCCAGCCCCCTGCCACAGCAGGCAATGCATTTCACTGAGCCCCGAGATGGTCGATGGGGGGATAAATTCTTCCTCCCCAAAATCCTGCTTGCTTGGGAAGCCTTTAAGCAGTTGAAGACGTAGAGCGGATCAAAGAGAAGGCAGATCTTATTTACCAGCTAATTCTCTTTGACTCTTCCCATCCCAGGCTGAGCCCGACCTGCTGCAGATCAGAGCATCTCCCCCTGCTGCTGCTGCAGGTTTCAAGGCGGGCTCGACAGCTCCCAGGCTCCTAGCAGTCATTATTTAGTGAACAGAAAATGCTGGAAGGCTGATGTTCCCTCAGCACTGCCTTCCCAAGGCTGGGAAATGCCCAGATGTGGCTGCAACAGCAGGCTGAGCCCAGGACAGTGTCACACACCGCTCCCCCAGCCTGCTCACTGCCACCAGCAGGGATGGGAGAGGGAAAAGAGGGAACAAAGCTCCCAAAAAATATCCCTGGAGTCTTCATGGACTGGGACAATCGATGGCACAAGAGCTGTTCTGCCCCATCAAGTGCCTGCTGTACCTCGGCTGGCAAACGACACCATGAGGAGGCAGAAATTGCTTTTCTGAGAGATTGCCCTGCCTGAAGAAAGAAAAGCAGGAATCCATCCCCACTAACTGCTGCCTGCCACGCTCCTGCCACGCTCCCCGGTGTGGATCACGTGGAATTCCAAGGGATGTGCTCGGGATGAGCAGCAGAGCACAGCCC